ATGCTGGAAGCTTTTTTGACACTTCGAATTCGTAATGTTCTGAGTGTGTCCAAAGCATGGTGATCTATAGCTTTTAATCAGCTAATGGGTCGACTCCCTCTAAAAAACTTAACTGCATTAAATCTTCTTAGAACAGAAAAGGATTTTCCTAACTTTGAATAGAATTGCATAAATTCCAGAATGTGGCTACAAAGCAATGCTGGAGCATTTATGTGACACAGCAACTAGTTGCAAATTAAAAAGAACGTGCCCGGTTATAAGGCATCTGAGCACTTGGCTGGACTTCCTTCCTTCCTTCCTTTTGGTCATAGAGGTTTTAATTTGGGGAGATCATTACATTCTGCTTTCCAAGTACAGAGCTTTTCCTGTGATGGTAAAAGAGCAGAGTTACATTAGTCAAGCAGAAAATTCAGCTTTCATCGCTGGAATCAGAGATGGAGGAGGAGTGACATGCATTTGCAGGCTTCTAGCTACTCCTCATTGGTCAAAAGCACAAAGTCATTTCATCTCACTGTTTACAATGGAATGTGCTTGACAGGCGCTCTCGCGGGGAGGATGGACTGATGTGCTAGAGCGGGAGGGAGAGCAGGGCAGGAGCGTCCTGTGAGGCTAAGCCCGCAGGGAGGAACATGTAGGCCAGCTGCCTGGTTAGCTAATTTCGGTGCTGTGTGACCTAACCTTTCATTATTTTAAAAAGTAAAGGTAGAATAGAGATGATGCTTAGACTGAAATTAAGTAATCTGCATTTGAGTTATAGCTTGGCTGGTGACGTATTTTCAATAATGGGGTCCATAGCTTTGTTAAGGGTCAATTTTTACCAATTGGTCAAATATAAGTGCAAGTGCAAGGACAAGACCCTTTTCACTGCTCTTGTTAACAAACTTAATATTCACATCTGACTATTATTTTATACAGCTGAATTTGCTAAAGGGCTTTCTTCTGATATTGCAATACAAGAAAACAGATTGCAAAAAGTGCATAGACAATATTAATTCTAGAAGGGTATATTAACTAAGTGGTAGATCAAGAATGATGTAGCCTTGCAGTGTAGAAAAGTTTGAAGGAGGTTGTAGCTTTCCTTCTGCAGAGAAGCAAGCCAGCCTCTAACAAATACATAGAGACCCCTGGAAGTTTCAGAGACCCTGCTGTGATCTCTTTGAGGAAGGATGGCATCCACACATAACAAATACTTATATCCTTCCAGACTTATTTGGACTACAACTTCCATCATCCAGGCCACTGACCATCCTGGTTGTGCCTGTTGGGAGATAGAATCCAACAACACTGGGAGGGCCAAATGTTCCCCTTTCCTATCATTTCTTGGTAGACTATTTCAGTCACCCTCCTCTCAGTAGCCCAGAACTTCAGTCTTGCATTAGGCCACTGTCTTCTAGGCGAAAGACTTGGGCAATGTGCTGTACAAGCCATCAGGTGGCTCACAGGTATGCACAGGTGGACAAACTGGTAAAAGTTACCATGCGTCAATAATATGCTTGGTTATTGTTCATTTTTCTCTTTATCTGCCAGAAAGGAATTTTATGCTATCTCCATCTCCTGGATGGTGCTCCCTAAAAGCCAATGGGATGAATGAAATCCCCTATCCTAAACAATCCAGTTTGATGCCAAATCCTCTCGATTAGATAGGCAGGCTTGTTGCTACAGGTGCCGACCTACTTGAGGAGAAGAGGAAGCAGCATGTATTAAAGAACATTGATGCCAGGTCTAATGGGACCAATTTCTGACCAGGAAAGAAACTTGCTGGGTCACTTGGCCTAATTATAGCAAAATACACTTCTAATGTGTCTGTGTATCCCCTGCTAATGCACGTTCAGTGCCCTGCGGTAAGCTGGCTTCTTCTGGTAGTTCCCGAATCTACTTTCACAGTTTTTAATTTTCAGTTTTGCATACTGATGAACAGAAGAACCTGCTTTCCACCATCAGTTCTGCCATCAGCACTTTCTGTTCATCTTTGTCTTCACACTCATGACACTGTGGTTTAAGCATTAAAACAAAAACAAAACAAAACAAAACACCAAATTGTGTATGTTGATGTGTGTTCTAGGAAATGACAGCTCAGTGGGATTAAAAGAGGTCTTGGGCCAGAAGCATGGGTGAGAAACTTTCCACTCACTACTGCTGCTACTTAGGCTAGCAAGATAAATATTTATGTGTTTGAAATGCCTCAGGTGCAGTTGATAACTGGGCTTTTCAGCTCATAAGCTCCATGACTGAGTGGGTTTTAAAGCTGGCTCACTTCAGTCCTAGTTGAACAGTCTAGTCTGCCTTTCCCAACTTGCCACTCTTTGCCCATATTGATCTACAAGTCCCATCATCCTCAGGCAGCATGTTGGATGGTTGTGATGGAAGAGCAATACCCCTAGAGGGTGGTAGCTTGAGGGTGGCATCCACCTGCTACATGAGAGGCAACCCTCAGGATTCATGGGAATTGGGAATTTCAACACAGACCTTGATTCACTTATACCAGCTCCAATATGCACCATGTGAAAAGAGGAAAGAAAGGAAACCAACATTCTTCTGAACTGCTATTTCACTGCTTCTGCTGAAGCCAAACAAACAACTTTAACAAGAGAGCACTGCCCTTTCCTTATCGGATTCTTTGGCGCCTATTGGCCTTGCCTGGTCATCTCTCCCAGGGCACAGTTCATTGCCTCTTCATGTGCTCCCTAGTCCATCGGTAGTCATTCCCTTCTGGGTTGTTCACATGGATCGGAGCTTCCTGCCCCATCTGACGACCAGCAGGCCCCCTTGCCTGTTGCTCAGAGTTCCCTTGCCCCCCTGAAGCATCAGCCTCTCTTCTTTTCCCTGCAGTCTCAAGATAACGGATGCATGTAGACTGAGGTGATGCTGGGGAAGCAAAAGGCCCTTTCATCTCCTGCTGCTTTTGAAGCTTAAGTGCCTACTCTTACAAAGCATGGCTTCAGGCAGTGGCTGCTATTGTGAGCCACTTTGGGGCTGCTGTGCTTTGCTGGGGAAGCACAAAAAGGCAAGTGGGACCTTCAGTGAAGTGTTCCTATGTGGAGTGCTCATATGAGGGATTTCGGGGTTTCAGCCATGCCCTTTACCAGGATACTCCATCCACTGCCTTTCAGGGCAGCAAAGTGTACTCAGTGCTCATGCAGTTTGCCTTCCCTTTAGTGTTCACACACACACACATCTCCGAACATATTTTGTGCTGTGGGATATTTTCTGTCAAATGTCATAAAGAGTACACTGTCTTGACTTCAGTAAAACAGGGTGGGCTGCACTCTTCCATTTTCCTGTGCACCTGGACTCTTGGGAATGGGTGCAAAAGTTGGGGACACTGGGACTTAGTAAACACACACACCCAAAACCCCAAGACTCCCATTACCAAGTGGACGTAAGTCTTGCGGCCTCCTTTTCATGAGCAAATACAAGTGGCACCTGCAATAAATTGTTAATGTGTGAACTGCCCACATTTCCCAGGACAGATTTTCATGTAGGTATATAAAATTTTGATGCTTCTCAATAGCCAAAGCAATTCGCAGCAATTCAGGTATGTGCATTCTTTATATACTTCTGCCCGCAAAATAGACACACATAAGTGCATTTTAATTCTAAAATTATTAGCAATATTTGTTCCTCAAAAAAGCATTTATTGCACATTATTCTAAATATATGGTTTTTTGTTTTTGTATGACTGTTCCAAATGTATACATCTTTGTATGTGCATTGCAAATCTCAGATAAGTATGGAATTCAGTGTCTGTGTTCTGTTCATTTTTATGAAGCCTGAATATGATGCACAGCAACACAGTGGTAACTAAAGCACAACAGTGGTCCAGACGTAGTTCGGAAGCAATGGAACAAGCTGTCTTCATGTAGAACAGCAGCAGGGAACCTGGTGCTGACCACCTGTTTTGAACCATACCTCACAACTTGCATAAATTTCTGACCACTGGCCATGCTGGCTGTGGTCAGTGTGAGTTATGGTACATGTTGCTGACCTTCTGTTTTAGATATAGATAAACACACATCTATACCTCTCTGGCAAACAAGGTCAATCAGTTCCCCCTGCGATTAAATGCACTCAAGGGCCATGACACCTCTGAAGTTGTCCCTGAAAATAAGAAATCAGGTGGGTTAAAACTGAATAGGTAACACCAAGGAATGTTTGGGTATTATTCCAGCTTTGGTAATTTCTTTGCTTATTAAGTGGGCTTATCAGAGATAGAAATGAATTGGAATTAAGCAAAACTGATCCTTGTGGAGTTTAGCTTGCCATTAGGAATTCTTCTGAGAGGTAAAGGGATCACCACTGTCAGGCACAGTAATCATTTCAGGTATGCAGAAGTGGAAGGAGTTCTGAATTCACAACAAACTAGCCATGACCTGGGGATGACCTGAGATAGGTAGCAAAAGGGTAAGATTCGTGCCATGCAAAATCACAGAGGCTGGGGAAGAACAGGGAGGCACCTGCATGGCCATCACGAAGCAGACCAGATTGAATTCAGTGCCCAGTGAGCTCTTGAGCCCAGTATATGCCTTCATGGCAAGCCAGTGGTTCCCTCCTGTCCTCCTCTGTCCACACTGCAAGGTGGTGATAACAGTTTTACATTCTGTATAGAGGCAATCACACTCTGAACTTGCAAAACATCGTCTCCTTGCTTAATGGACCTTCTTTATCCCGCTGCCTACTCTCGTTTTCCCCATGAGCACAGAATGGAGAGTATGGAACGCTGCCACCTGGGTTTGTGTCCACTTGCTCTATGAATCATAGAGGGATTTATATTTAATTTGTCTGTCAAATCCATAAACCTTCACAATGTATAAACAGAAGTTCCATCAAGCACAGAGTAGGTTTGCTGTGTGCTTAATGGATGGGCCTCAGATGTCTGTCTGTCTGTCTGTCTAGCTCTGAGATGCTGCAGCCTGAGAGCTGGGATTCTGACTGTGGAGCCCCTACACCCCTTGCAGCTAGAATGGAAAGAACTGCATTGGCTGCGTCTCTGAGTTTGGAAGTCCGTATCAGGGAGGGCTAAAGGGACATGCTGGGGTGAGGTCAGCAGCCTGTGCTGCATCCAAATAATGTCCCAGCATCCTCCCTCCTCCCTGTGACCATCTAGGTGCTAAGAAGCAGCCACCCAGATGAAATGCAGTACTTGCTGCCACGGCACTTCACACCCTGTGTTGGATGCTGTAAGGCTCGGCTTGCATGCATTGTGGGCAGAGGACACTGTAAAATGCCCTCCATCCAGGAGTTTTCCAGATGTACAATCCTGGCATCCAAAGACATGACTTAGCCCTTCTGCACAATTTAGGAGTGAGGTTGGCCAGAAGGAATCAGTCTTAGTAAATTTTTGTTTAATTCTGATATAGTGAGTGTTACTGATGTTATATTGTGCTTGTTGTAATTGCCTTTGCTGTCAGGGAAGCTAAATGAATTGCAAATAGGAATTTTGAACAATTCTGCATTGGGAGGTCATGAAAGGGGAAGAAGGTCCTTGTTGCTGAATATATTATTCCGAACCTAATTCACACTGCCTTTTCTCAGGATCAGGTTTTGATGTACAAGTTAGTAGGGTTGCAACATTTATATTAAAAACTCTTTGATCAACTGGTTCTTCCAGTTAACTGAAGATCAGACTTTCAATGTGTTAACATTATTTGTAATACAGATACTGTAAATAGCAATATTAGATGGCACACATTTTCTTATATAAAGCTTCCCTCCTGTGCAAGAGAGACAGGAAATCTTTCTTCTGCAACAGTGTCTGCTGTGACATATGACATGTTTTAAAAACAAAGGAGGTAGGCATTTTTCTTTTAAATGGTTTTTTCCTTCTTATATGCAGATTTAACTGATTGAATAATCAACAAAAAGCTTTATGTTAAAATGGTGTGATGGTCTTAGAAATACATTTTGCTTTCTAGTTTTGCTGAACTGAATGAAGTGGGCTCATTCCAACTGAACTAGGCAAAGTTATTTTCCCAGCGTCTGAAACTGCCTTGAACTAAATCAGACTGTATAACCATCAGCTCTGTGTGGTCTGTACCAGGATAGATGGGTAAGCAGTAGCTCTCCAGTCTACAAGGTGGCCATCACACCTTGACATTGGCCATGCTGAGTGGGGTTGATAGGAGTTGGATTCTACAACAACATCTGGAGGACCTTAGGTTTCTCCTTGCTGAGTTATACCAACTGGTAGTTGCACAGAGTACTAACGTGTAGCTGGAGAGCTGTTCATTTTCTGGAACAGTTCTCTGCTACTAAAGATCCTTTTTAATTGATAATGGCAGACTTTGAGAATGGAGTTTATGCATTTTGAAAGCATGTGCTCCACCCCTGAGCTATGGGCCCTCTTCATAATAACATAGAGCCTTCTAGGGATATAGTGAAATAGTTCTTATGTGCCTTCAGCATATTGAACTGTCCAAATAAGATAACCTTTCTCCATCCTCTATTGAAGGTAGCCTGTTTCCTGGCCAGACAATTCCATGTTGTCTCTTCAGCAACTTGTTTCTTGTCTCTCAGAATTCTTCAGCATGAATGTCAGATGCAGGAAAGTTTTTCTGAAACCCAGGTCCTTTTGACCTATTTAAAAAGAAAAAAAATCTACAAGGATTTGCAATTGAAGAAGCGATCATTGTAAATCATTTTTCAGCTCAATGATGTTGGCGTCTGGCTTTGTTGCTGAAGGAAGTTTTATGGCATAGGACATTTAATTGCAAAAGATCCTGAGCTCTGAATTGGTGGCTCAGAATTCACTCTGCCCTGAAGCAGATGCTTTAAAGCAGGTGTGGTGTGTCATTTTCTGTACAGTTGGCATATCAAAACTGAATGAACAGATGGGAGGGAGACCACAGGTATTGCTCTATGCCTATGCATGCATCCATTGATAGGCAAAATAAACACCTGGGCACAAGTGTATGATCACTGTAGGTTTCAGTCAGACAACTATACAGACAACAATTGTGCCACTGATCACTGTACTGTGCAACTGACATAAGCATCACCATAGTAGCAGTTGTAGTAGTAGTTCATTGCAATTCAGATGTAACGTAGCTAGTAACAGTGACAGACCATAAAAACATAAAGAACAGTAATACTAGGTCAGACAAATTGCTCACCCAACGCAGGAGATACTGTCTTTAGTCTGTGATTCGGACTGTGATCTGGGTTCAAATCCCGATGCATGGAAGACTTTCTGATGATCTCAAGCTTTTCCTGCTAAGGTCATTATATTATTTAAATATATTAATTACAAAGCTTTTCTGAGATTATTTCCTACAGCGCATACACAGAACTGTTGTATGTTAAAGATATGGCAACCCCGCAGTGTGTGAGAATGGATTAACAGCTGACATGCAGGAGACTGTAATTTGGAATGGTGTGTTTGCAAACCACATCAGATACAATGTTTGCAACATTGCCTTACCTTTCAAGTCATACATTTTTGGGCTGTTATTTCAAAAAGGTGGGCTGGATACATCTGTAGATAATATTTTTGTGTAAAGACAGATCGTTTAACCCCCTCCACCTAGATAGCAGTACTGAAACATTGTATCTGCAGAAGTGTTGGTGGAAATATTGTCATCCTTCAGTATATTCTGGTAATGGTATTTTCCTTGCATAGGAAGGAAGTGTTGGTTTCCTTTTGTTTCTTGATTATGTAATCTATAAACTCCAGCAAACAACTTAATTTGCACACTTTTTAAGCTTTTCTTTACAACTGTATGGTGTTCTTAGTAGCTACTGAATCAATAGGGTGCACGAAGACTGGAGAATAAAAACACATTTCAAAATGGCACAGTGAGAAGAGTTCGAATACTTGCATATCGATTAGAGAGTGGCTGGGCAGCAGAGAGGAGCCTGTCAAGACAGTTTTATCTGTAACGTTCAGGTGTGATATGAATCCACAATGGAATGGATTAGCCCAGTCCAATTCAGTGTTTTCCGTCCCAGGCATTGGTGGGGACACTGGGAGTGTGTTGCAAACTCTTGCTTTGCTGTTTCCCTCCCCTTTGCAGAACTAACAGTGAATGTACCCTCGAGGCAGTGGCTGAGTTCAGACAACATAGCAAGCCGTGGTGGGTTTCTCTCTCTCTCCCCCCCTCCCACTATGATTGCTCTGTTGTGCTGTCCAAACCCAGCTTGTGGTGCCACCAAGCCCTAGTTGGTTATCTGAACTCAAATTATAGTTTCCATGGCCCTGGAATTCAATCATCATGGATTCTTCTGGAAAGAGTGCCCAGACTAGGAGCTGTTGCAGCTGCCCAGCCTCTGCTTTGGTTCTTTGCGTCTAAGTGAACTGTAGTGACCATGCAGAGTTGCTTATCATGTTGCGTAAACCCAGCCCATATGAATACTGCCTGTAGTCAGCATACAACCAGAGTGTATAACTAGGGTCCTCAACCCTGCTTACAAATAGCAATGGTTTCTATTACTATCAGTGCTGTCATAATGCTGCATTGTGGTTACAGCTGAAGAAGAAGCAGATTAAAAGCATGTAGCACATGTGGAACGTCTGGGTTCTTACAGAAAATTGGAAACGTTAGATTTGGCTGGGGAATCACTGCAGTGCTTTGAGGCCTGGAGCACAGCATGTATGGGTTGTCCCTGATGGCCAGAGAATACTGGTGCATCCAAAGCAAAGATGTGTACCTGGTTTGGAAATATTCCCTTCCTCCAAAATGGTTTAGGGTTTCTGAATTACTGATATATTAGGACAAGCATTAAGAAAGGTAGGTTCCCACAGCTGTCGGGTGGTTTCATGCCTCTTGGTGCTCCTACAGGCACCACTAGGATGCTCTCTCCCCTAGGAGAAAGCATTCCCAAAGGCTGTGTGCAGAACTACAAATAAGCCTTTAATTTGAAGCACTAGTCAAGCTGCCTTTTGCATTTTGTATGAATAAGCTTGTTATAATAACCCATTTACTATGCACCAGTCTCTCCAGCTGCTCTATTTACACTGAAGCATGTTGTTATTTTGACCACCTGGTCAAAGAGAGCATCTGCTTTAAATTAATTAGGTTCCACATTCCTGTTTTTTGTCTTTAATTAAGAGGCTTCCCAGTCCTTTCCTTTGCTTTCTTCCAAATCCTTTCCAGCTCTTTGTATTTGCCGACTAAAAGGAAGTAAATCATCCAGCAAATAAAAAGCAATGTCATATTGGAGTCAAACTACAGTGAGCCCTGCCAAAAAGATGCACAGAGCACTGTCTGAATCCAACAGATTTGCCCTCCATCTTTTGACAGCATCGTTGCAAAAAGAATAATAGAAAAAATCCTGCTTATACTGCAATAACTTAAGTATGCAAAGCAGCATTGCACATCTTATCTTGCAAGGAGTGAAAGAGGGCAGGAAAGATGGAAAAATATTATATAAATATATGTTTCAGTATTTAGTTATGTTTGAAGCTCTGGTCTTAACAAGGATCACTGTAGCAGAGACTGGCCTGCAAAAAGATAATTTATCCTTAAGTGGCGATTTGTTATATTATATGTTATAGTTTGTTCAAATCACCCTTCGTTCTTGCAGATGCCAGGACAGGGTAGAAAGAAGGTAACTAACCATGTGAAATAAATTTTAAATGTTATTTGAAATATTCATAATAAAATAGTGGAGGAGCAAATAAAACAATGGAAGAGTCTAACAGACTATTGGCATTAAACTATTTGGACAAATAAAAAACTTTTTAACCTGGTTTCTATATATATATTGTGGTGTTGGTGCCAGGCATGGTTCTGTTGGGTAGGTGTTCAAAAACTGAGGTGCCACTGTAGAGAAGGGCATTGCTTCTAATTAAAGAGCCTTCCCTGGTGAGTTCAGTCATGGACAGACTGTTACGGAGAAAAGCTCTCGTACAGCTAAGTGTCCCATGCTGTTTCAGGGCCTTAAAAATAAGCATCAGCCCTTTAAATGGAGCCAGGACACGGAGTCTGGGTTCAGACTGCACAACAAACCATTTTTTCCATTGTTGGTCTGTTGTGTTGTCTGAACCCTATCATTATAATTCACCACAGTAAGTTTTGTGTTTAGAAACATGATAAAAAACCAATTACTTATCCTGTAGTTTTTCCATACCACCATGGCTTGTTGTGTTGTCTGGACTTAGGATTGTGGTTTCCACATGCCTGGTATGTAACTACCACAGAGTCCCCTAGAAAGAGCACCAATTGCTGGAACCACTCCACCCATCTAGCCTCTATGTGTGGGCCAATGAACGAGAGACAGGTGACATAGGAAGGGAGCGATGTCTCTTCAGATTGAATTTCCAGCGCATTGGTTGATGGAATATGTGTCAACACTGGAAGGACTCACTGGGGAGGATGGAAAAAACAATAATGCAGCAACTACTTGATTGTGAGGTAGATCATAGAAAAAAGCTATGAACCATGGTAACCATGTTTGTTGTGTGAATGCAGCCAAATAGGTAACCAGCACAATGTTAATATCTGGCTGTACCCATTAAGTGTTGGGATATGGGCTTCCTTTTGTCCCTAACCTGTGTGTGTCTCTCCCTTCTTACCTTGTTCAAGGTAAGTTTTGGTAGCAAGATTAGTGAGCAACACACTAACTAAAGCACACATTGGAGAGTTTGGGTTGGTTTACACTTAATTTATTTCTCGGAAAACTTCCAATGTCTCTGATGAGTCAGGTGTTATTGCTGGCCCCACCCCAATAGTTTGGGTGGTCTGTACCAGTCTTTCCAGCCTGGTACCCTTCAGATATTTTGGCCTGCAAGCAGCATGACTAACCATCTCAGTTTGATGGTCATTGTTGGAGGTGGCCAGGTTGTGGCAGAGTGGTCTGTGGAATGCATATAAAGCCTGTTTTTCTGTACGGATGAAGGGTTTTGAGATATGGAATGAAATTAAGAGGGAGCTCAAAGGAATAAAATGAATCACGGGATTTCTGCTTGCTACCTGCTCTGTTTTGGTCTGCACTTGAGAGTGGAGTCAACAGAACAAGTGCACTTCTTTTGTAAAGTAGGATGCTCTTTTGTGGGTAATTGCACAGGGTAGGGGCTCCAGATTGCATTTTGTAATTCCAAAGCTTGACAAGGCCTGGAAGGTTCCTTCTTTGATGCGTGCCCTCCCAAGTAGAATAGACAGGGCCCTATGGAGTGTGGCAAAGGAAGGAGGAGCAATTATTTAAAGAAGTTTTAATCTTTCCTTAATTAGAAGGCATGCTAAATTAAAAGGCCCAAGAGTGATCCTACAGATGTCGGCTTACTGTGATATATTAATTGGTATAAGGAGCTAATATTGGGCTAAGCTGAATAGCTGCATTGTTATGCTTGTACATACCGTATTAACATTTCAGCCAACTTGACCTATATACAGTTCATGCAGTTTCTTCCCCCACACACCACATTTCAGTGGTGTGTGGGGGAAATATTGAGCAAGTCTTCTTTAAAAACTACCCAACAACCTTGCATTTCTTTATCTTTTCCCTCCCCACTATCCCAAAGGCCAAATCTCTTCTGAACCTTTTGAAAAACAATGTTCTATTGTCACAGCATTGTTGGGGAAGATAATCAGGAGGCATCCCAACTGTATACAATCACAGCCGGATGCTTACAGGAAAACCGTGCCACTTGCTTTGAAAACTGAACCCTGCTTGCATTTAGCTAGTGTTTGTACAGCAAGCAAAGGAGAAGAAAAACTGCTGTGTCGCATCTCTGGTGCTATCTGCTGTGTAAAAATTCAAAGGCACCATTGTAAGTGGAACTGAATGTATTTCCCCCTCTCATCCATACATTCATCCAAGTGAGCTCAGAAAAATTGCAACTAATTTCATATAGATGGCAACTTGCTAAAATGAGACCTACTAGGACTATAAAGAAAGAGGCTGAAGAAGAAGAAGAAGAAGTTTGCTTTAGAGGAAGATTACCATATTTTTCACTCTATAAGATGCACCTGACCATAAGACGCACCTAGTTTTTAGAGGAGGGATCCATGGAAAGCTTCCTGATAATCACAGGCACATTCCCCATCACTTCCCCATGGGCGTCATTAAAAGACAGGTTGCCATTTGAAAACACACACCGACCTGTGATTAACAGCTCTCACCTGTGCTGGAGGAGGGGGGCGGAGCAGGGCGCACCGAGCGCATGCCGGCCAGGTGGTGCCACGTGGTGCAGCCGGGACAGCAGTGTGCCGGCGGTGGTCTTCTCGGCGGCGCGGCGGCGGCAGGTCTTCCCGGGCAGTGGGGGTGAGCAGTCCATCTCTCCGTGCGGCTGGTGGGTTAAAGCCCGCGGCTCCTCCTCCTCTGCAGCGCTCCCCCTGAGAGGCACAGCTCTCACCTGCACCTGGGGGGGGGGCGCAGAGCAGGGCGCACTGAATGCGTGCCGGCCAGGTGGTGCCACGTGGTGCGGGTGGCTGGCAGCGTGCCGGCAATGGTCTTCCGGGCGGCGCAGCGGCGGTGGCAGGTCTTCCCGGGCAGTGGGGGTGAGCAGTTCATCTCTCCATGCTCTCTGTGCTGCCGGCGGGTTAAAGGCCGTGGCTCCTCCTCCTCCGCACCGCTCCCCCTGAGCGGCACAGCTCTCACCTGGGCCGGAGGGGGGGCGCGGAGCAGGGTGCGCTGAGCGCGTGCCAGCCAGGTGGTGCCACGTGGTGCAGGCGGGCTGGCAGTGTCCCGGGCGTTGGGCACACACACATTCGCTCTATAAGATGCACAGACATTTCCCCTTACTTTTGAGGGGGGGGAAGTGCATCTTATAGAGCGAAAAATATGGTATCTTTCTCAGGCAGATGGAGGAGCACAGGAGTTTAGCAAGTCTGTATGATTCTTAATATAATTTATTTGTGAATACAAATGACTCCAATATGAATGTTGTCTTTTTTCCTTCCTCAGCAAGTGTGAGACTGCTCCCCACTAGGGTGCCAGTAGAAGCAGTGGTACATGTGGGCTTGACTATGCACATAACTGTTGTTTTGTGTCCTTGCAGTCCACTCATGGTATGGATAGGGAACAGCAAACAAAGGTGAAACAGTGAAGTATTGGGGTAATGCAGACTTGGTCTTTAGTCCTTTTCCCCAGAGACAAACAGGAGCATGCTGGGGTGGGTTGACAGGGTGAAATTCCATTGGCACATTCAGCAAACCATTAGTTTCAAGTGGTGCCAGGAATGCGAAAAGACGACAACCCACAGACCTCAGGGTCTTTCAGGAAAGGTTCCTCTACAGTGTCCCCCATTCCCATGTGAGAAAACCTCTTTCCAAAGCTGGAAGGGTAACTAGCAGGAGGAGAGCTTGCTAGAGATGGAAGGGGCATTGCCAGTCTCACCTTCCCTGGAAATAATGCTGGCCCAGGACTGCAGTTTCCTGCAAGGGAACCCAGGCTCTGGTTTCCCTTGCCTCCTGATTGCCTCTTTGGCTGACATAGAGGAGCATCCTTAACTGCATCGTGTACTCATCCATGCTCACTGGGGGGGTGACAACAAGTGAGCTAAGCTCCATTCTGGATGGCTGAAAGGATGCGCCCTTGGAGCACTGTCCAGTGCTTAGAGATTTATCTTCACAGGCAGAAGCATTTTCATATATCTGGTTTTGAGAAGTTAAATTTGCTTTTCTTTCTTACATCTGGAGATCTTTTCATATGCTTGGGTGCTGATCAGAACTCCAGACTCTTCTCATTCAGGGACTACTGCTGCACCCGAGTCTGAAATGGTCTATCTTTGCATTGAAAAGAAAAGTGAAAATTGTTTCCTTAAGGAGAGGGCAGTTGCGTTTCTATGTCTCCTGTAGTCAGCAATTGCAGTTCTTGTGTGTCCTACGGTGTGGCAATTGTGGCAGCGGTGGCAGGGGGGAATTGGCAGCAAACATAAATCTTCTAAGAGAGGGGCAAGTTCCTTGTGATTTGAATGTAGTTGGCAGTTGAGGCTAATCACTGAGCTTACCTTATGAATAATATTGAACTGGTGGAGTTGGAAAAATCCAAGGCTCCAATATACTGTGGGTGAAGGCTTAGCAAATGGGCAAAGAAAAATTATAGGAAAAATTCTTGTGTGCTGTAGTGGTTAAGACTGCTGGACTAGACCTATTCATCCTTGAAGCTCTCTGGCCAGTCACTGCCTCCTAGCCCAACCTACATCACAGGGTTAATGGGAGGAAGGAATGGAAAGGAAGAAAACTTGTAAGCTGTCTTGGGTTCCTTGCTAGAGGACGTAAGACAGGATGTAGATGCAATGTAGCAATAGCAATAATAATCTGGATTCTCCAAAAATAATTCTCTCAAGTTTAATGGAGTCTCTATAAGAATTAGGTTGTCAATGAAAAAAGACTCAAATTGGCATTTTAGAATTCTCATCTCATCTTTTAAGTGGATTGTGACACACAGTGTGATTGAAGAGGAAATGTTAACCGAGGTGTGTGTGTCTGTGTGTATGCATGTTTTGATGACTCCCTCCCATTTTGTGGCTTGACTCAAAAATCCTTCACCCTCTGATATAAGGTTTTCAGAAGCTCTTAGTTTTATGGCTAGTCCTCCAGCAACACAGAGGAAGGGACTGGCTGAACATTTTTGCAAGCATTAGTGTCTACACAAATTCCGTTCAGTTCACAATGAGAGGACAATGTAAATGCCTGGACACATGATTGCACAACATTTACATTGCTGATAAAGGTTGGATGTTAAATCAAATAAGAGTGAGAAGTCATGCTTGACTTCACAGAACGCTAGACATCCCCCTTCCCCGAAACATACATGCAGTGGGTGTGTTGGTAGAAAGGAAGAAGAGATGCTGCCAAGACCTTTCATATTTATGTGCCCAGAACAGGTGCGCTTCTGGGAGGGGTCACCTTCAGTATGGTTTGGTGGTACAGGGACACCACTCTGCCAGGTAGGAGAGCAGGAAAGGACTGGCAGGATCCAATGGGATGCAAGGGACCCAGCATCTTTCACTCAAGAGCTTGGGTGTCTCGACTTGTGGCTCTTCTGGCAGAGGTTTCAAGCCAAAATTGTCTGCCCTAGGGCTTTCACACCTTTCAGAAATAAAAGGAACTCACCCTTGACATCTCTGAGGAGGAACAAAATGTTTTATCAAGTATTAGAGCCAACACTTTTGTGGAAGTCTCAGTCAACTTGGCAGCCACCCAAGACCAGCTGTAGTGGAAAGTCTTCAGTCTAGAAAGCTGGAGAGTCATGGCCAGACAATGTTTATGATACTGGGCTGGGTAGACCTCTGGTCTACTCACTGCCAGGCAGATTTCTATCTCCAACACGGAGTAATGCTCCTTTAAATGTCCTCTCACCTTCCACCAAAGTGCAGAGCAGTTCTTACACTGTGCCAGAACAATGAATGTTGAGCTATCCCAGGAAGCTACTACCTGAAATCAGCTCTCTAGCAATTAATACCTAGTTTTGCTGTTTCACTGTGCTACCAGTCTGCTGCCCCAGTCTGGTTCCCTTAGATTTTGTAATGTTTGGGTTACTGTGGTCCAAAAATTGTTTTATGCAACTTGCACTGTGCAGCCTCTCACTCTGTCTCTTTCTCTTTCTTTGTACTGTGCATTTGAATATATGTTGGATCTGTAAACCAGCTTCCATGGCTTCCACTGTCCCTAGGATCCATGGTCCTCCTCATCACGGCACTTAGTCTCCCCTACCAGCTATTCTTCCCAGCTGCCAGTGCACAATAAACACTGGACTAGTTGCTTTTGAGAGACCATTGCACATAGGAAGCACACAGCTTCCTTTCTGCCTAGTAGTTTAACTGACAAGCACACCCCTTTTCTAGAGGAGCGGCTGGACCAGCAATTCACAGTTCAGAAAGTTGCTTCTTGTGCTTCTGTTTGATTTCAGCAAGTATAGCAAGATCTAGACAAGAGGTACGCAGACACAGGGAAACAAGTTCCTTTCAATATTCTTAAGCATGACCTACAATTTGGCTTGATTTCACACTCACCCCTAGACTAATGGGGTTGAAGTCTGGGCCACCTTGCCCTCTGGATCTCCCAGTATATCTCTTTGCCTGATCCAGATGCTTAGATCCTGATTGCCTGTATTGGGATGTAGAGCTAGATGAGCTTGCCTTTGAACTCAGTAGGACTAGATGAACTCTATCCATTCACAGGCAATAATTGTACAATCTGTGGCTTTCTCATAACTATCTACCAGTAAGAATCAGAACTCACACATGACACCAAGTTGGAAAATGTGGATGAAGCCCATTCAGAAGGCTGGTTTGCACATTTCTTTCTTACACCAGGAAAGAAAATGATTGTATGGCTTCATCCTGACACACACTGAAATTTCTCTGTCTCCTTATTCCATACTCAGAGCCAACATTTTCAATGCAGTCTGTTTGTACCATGAGAATGAAGCAAACCTCTCCATTCTGGTGCCCTCCAGGTGTGTTGGACTATTCCTTCCACCGGTTCACCAGCACGGCAAAAGCTCCCAGTCACTGCAAATGGCAGGAATTGCTGACCACTACATCTAGAGGGAATCAAGTTGGGAGAGACTGGTATGGAATATGAAAAACACAGTATTTGGGGGTCTTGGACAACTGTTCTTGTTACCTATTTCAGACCTTAACATAAACCAGCACACAGTGCTAGTTGCCGGCATACCCAGATCTGATTCAGTTGGTCCCAATTTATTGCAATGAAACTGAAACCAGTATCAGCCTCAGGGCAGCAACAGGTGACAGTAGCAGATAATGAGGCACTGTGGATCAGGCGTGGTTTCAGAATTCCCCACTTAGGAAAGATCAAATGCCTCGAGTAGACATTGCCTCTTCCATCCCAAGGGAAACAGTCTGCACTTAAGAAAATGATCAGGCTGTTTTCCAGGAGGCAGAAAGGCTTACAACAGGAACACTTCATCAAGTTTCTTGATGGTCAAGTGCACCACCCTTTAACCTTTTCCTAAAGCTGCCTGCCTTTAAAATGCTTAATGCGCCAACTTAAAAATGCCCTCTCTCCTAAAACGAACAAATATACAAATAAATAAAATGGCTTAATTTTATCTAAATGCAAAACTGAATGGAAAAACCTGCACAAGTGGTCATTTGGAACAGGAGCTGCTTTCATCATTCATCTGATATCTCTGTTGCAGACTGTTTTTAAAAAAACCTGTAAGGTGCTGCTTTGTTTAGTTCAAATGTACACGAGCATTTCAGGATAGTGATGCAGCTATTTACCACAGTGACTGGGGCTCTGTAGTCCTCCAACTATTGTTTGACTCCAAACCCCATCGGCCCCATCCAACATGTCCAGTGATCAGAGATCGTGGGAACTGTAGTCCATCAAAATGTGGAATGTTGAAGATTCTTCATTCCTACCTAGACAATACAATTTACTTACAATTTGCTCTTGAACGCCTTGTTTACAAGTTTAGCTTTTGGCTTGACCCTCTGGAATGTTAAAAAAACCCATGCTGGATCAGACCAGTTTTCAGTCCAGTCCAGCATTCTCTCCACGCAGTGGCCAGCCATTTGCCCTTGGGATCCCATAAGCAGAAAAGGAGTGCAACAGCGCAAGTTTAGGGACATTCCCCTTCCTTCCGCAGCCCATGCATTTGGATACGGGCAAGTGGAGCAGTGTTCACGAAGTATGAGGCTATCAATAAATAGCTACTCCTCATGTTGGCTGAGTATTCCCTATAGTCCATGAGGCTATATACCTCTGAAAACCAGTTGTGGAGGAGGAAGAGCAGGGACCTGAGCAGGAGGGTGCTTTTCCACCCTAGGCTTGCTTATGGGCTTGCCACAGGCTGCTGGTGGGCCCCGCAACCCTACCCTGTGTGAACAGAATGCTGGATTAGCTAGGCCTTTCTCCCGGTCCAGCATGGTTCCTCCTACGTCCATCATGTGCTCTGATGCAGCCTCCCCTCATTGCAGCGGGGCCTGCCCAGTAGAACTTCTTGGAGGATTTTGCCTCTTGTTTTTCTTTCAGCTGCAACATCTCACAGAGATATTTCTTATCTCTGCTGTCATTATTGTCACAGAGAGAAAGAGGGAAAGAGAGCCAACATGCTGTACCGCAATGTAATTTCTGCCCAAACAACCCGCAGATGCAGCATTTTTATTCCAAGTTGTCAGAATATCATCTCTCTTCCTCCCTCCAAGAAGAACTCAGGCATCCAGAAACAAAGACTAATTATTATGATTATGGCTTTGGCCTCAAATGGGATCTGAAATTTCCTTGCATTCTAGATGGATTTTATTTGGTGCAATCTAGATTATGGAGGGGGGAATGTCTTGGGATACCAAAGCAGTTCTAAAATCCATCAGCAAGAAATGTTGTCATGCTGAAACATACACACTGTAAAGAGAACAGCACTTCATTGCATCTGCCTGGGTTTTAGCTTTGTAATAAGAAATTGAAAAGCTTACTTCTGTGGCTGCAGTCTTCCATAGGCAATCATTATCCCACTCACCTCAATGGGATTTAAGAAGACTAACTAGATGCAGGATTGCAGTGTTTGGCACTAACAAGAAAATTGCTATGCATCAACCCTGGAAGCTGAACAGTATGTCAGAAAATATGTCTCCGGTCACGTCTGTTGGGCAGCATCACAATGAAAAAGAAACAAAAAGCCTGATTACATTCCAAACAGCTAAAAAACCATTCCTGTTGTTGTCAACTGAAACTAATAAAGAAATATCTAGCCATCACTACATTTTATTTTAACAGTACAGGCTTTGCAAATATTAGACTGGCTTTACACTCAACTGAGTGTGAGGGACATCTCAAGGGTAAGAGCTAGTGCAGTGCGTTGTCCCAACCTGGTATGTTGGATTGCAGCTCCCATAATCCCCAGCCAACATGGCCAATGGCCATATAAACTATGGTAATTGAACTACCAATGAACTGTGGGTGATGCAACCCAACACATCTGGATGGTACCAGGTTCGATAAGACTGCAGAATGATCTAGTGATATTAGAACAGGCCTGGATTCAAATGGGATATGGGAGAAATTTTAATGTGAATTGATCTGTAGTTTCCATTTCAAAATACCCTATCAACCAAAACTTAGTTATCCTTTGAAATGCACACTTCATTGAATTTTGTAATGGAGTTCTAATTCTAATCTAAAATACACGGATGGGGAATAAAACATTCAACTGTAGTATACACTGCATATACTGTTCAGGACAAATTGAACTTCAGAATAGAGAATTCTAAAAGTTTGGGACAAACTGAATTTCTCTTTCAGAAATGAGAATCTG